CGCGGCTCGCAGGCTGGCTGGCTGGCTCGCTCGTTCGCTCGCCCGCTCCTTGCTGCAAGCGGCAGCCCGGGGAGTAGAGGGCTGCAACGGGACAGGGGGAGACGCAGGGAGGCGCCACGGGAGGCCCGCAGAGCTGGAGGACGTGGGGGGGCCGCGCCGGAGGGAGCGCCGAGTCTCTTACCTGCACTTGGGGCGGCTTTGGGTGACTTTCCAAGTCCGGGGGAAAAATGTGTGTGTGTTTGGGATGGAGCGCCACGGGCGCGCATGCGCTGCCCAAAGTTGCCGGATCCCGGATTTTTCGCTCCCAGTCTCTGCTCTCGCCCGCTGTGATTATGGAATTCTCCGCTGCCGAGCGGGCGAGTGGGTGGCATGCAAAACCCGGGACGGATCGCGGGGCCAGGCTCCGCTCCACCCCAACACCCCCAGACCTTCCCCTCCTGGATTCTTCCCACCCACCGCCCGGGCTGAGCTTGGTGTGCGTGCGCCGCCAGACGTGGCCTTCGCAGGAGCATCTGAGCGCTGGGCTGACTTTGGCGGGTACAGATTTCTACACCCTCTACAATGGAGTTGAGTTGGGACTGGGGGAGAAGGAAGGGATGGGGGCGGGTTACTTTTCACCTGCTCTGAACTTTAATTGCCCCCCAATTTGGTTCCCACTTTTCCATTGAAGGACTGGATCTGCATGGGAAGTTAGAATGTTAGAACTGTCCAGCTCAAAGGAATATAATGTTCTCAATGTTTTATATGCTCTTTGTACTTTTTCTTTGCAAAGGAGTTTTTCAGTCTATTGTGCAAGAAATAAATCCTTAAGTGAACAAGATAGGCCTTGCAGAATGAACCCTGCAGGTGGGGGAGGGAAGTAATGAGCATTAAAACAAATTAATAATATTATTCCAGAAAGTGCAGGGATCTACAAAGAAAATGAATAAGGGAATAGGATAAAGAGTGTCCTGGGAGACCTAATACCCCTTCCTCTAAGTGTTCTTTGAGAGGGGACTCTCATACTCTGTTGAAGAAAACCCTCCTTTTCTCTCATGCCCCTCCACCCAGTTGGTTTCAGGTGGCCCAACAGGTGGAGCCTAGTGGTCAGCATCAGTCCTGAATTCCTGTAGCTCTGGTCCTACCTTTTGACCAGGCCATCCCATCCCAGGACTGAGCTAGTCACTGTACCTGTTTTCCGTTCTGCATTAATGGAAGGATAGAAATAGCATGGGACCTGAAAGAAAGCAGGAAAACAGCCAGATGATCAGTCAGAAATTGACCTCAACAGTAAACTAAGTAGATAAATGATTAGTCAAGTAAATGAATAAAAATCCAAAGTATGAGCCACAGATTTGAGACATGCTCAACAGGATGCAGTAAACTAAGAGGAAATGCCACAGGCTGGTAAACAGTGTTGCAGGCTGGTAGACTTTGGGGCCTGATCTGTAAGGTTTCCGCACAGCCTCTCAGGACTGGAAGTGACCCCAAGCCCTGCCTGATGATTGTCCAAGACAGACAGCTGCCGGGATACATTCCGTGCCCTGCCTTAAGCTGAAAGTCAATTGGTCCAGAGGCCAATAGAGACCAGGATTCAGTGGCCCTCTGGCCCAAATTCCCTTGCAAAGAATGAATATGAAGAGGATATCAAACTATTGAGACTATGACATTCCTTTGCTTTTGACAGTTCCAACATTCTTACTTCCCATAAAGAGCCAGTTCTTCAATGGAAAAGTAGGTTCCGGATTTGTTCTATCTCCTGATCAAGTCTCCAGATTTGGGGGAGGAGGTTTAACCATCCCGCACTCCTTAGATGCAAGTGATAACTGCATTTTAGACTGTCTAGGGAAGAAACCAGCTCAGAAAGCCAGTTCTTTAATACTTGCAACGAGTCTGAGGATCAGTTCAAGATTTGTCCACACGGGAAAGCCAGAATGGGGGCCAGAATTAGACACCTGTCAGGCTCATTTCATTTTCTCTCCTCCTTAGCCCAATAATTAACAGGAAGCAGGAACACAGCAATAATTAACAGTTCCCACAGACCACTGCCCATTACTCCCCACTACTACCCTCACCATCAAAGGCATCCTCATTTCCCAGGGGTTGCGCCTAGTTGACTCAGCTCTAGCCCAATCCTGCCATTCTACAGGAGGAGAAACTGAGGCACCCTGAGGGGTAGTAACCTAAACAGTGGTGAAGTAGTTTTTCTATCATTTGGCTCAAGGGTCAGTCCACTCCTGGAGCAGTGTTAAGAAGTGGTTAACCAGGGAACCAGCAGTTAGCGTAATGGCTATGTCGCTGGACTCCCACGTAGCCAACTGCGGTTCGCGTCCCGGACCCGGTGGCTTAGAACTCACGCCAGGCGCATGTACGTGCGTACCCAAGATCCCGGGAGGAGAACGGAGGAGAAGGGGTTGTGGCATGGCCATCCCCCCGGGGGGTGATTTCTCGCTTTCTGTCTCTTTGTCTCTGTCTGGCGAGCGCACACACCCTATAGCGAAAACCTCTCAAAAAAAAAAAAAAAAAAA